AAAATAAAAGAGAAATGCAGTTTTTTGATAAATGTAAATTCTAAAATGTTAATTAGTTATATATGTGCCCCAAAACCGACACTGAAAATTTCCATCTACTCCCAATTAAAATGTTAAATTTTATAATCAAAGTGTACCGTTCAAAAGGCAAATTAATCTATCAGCACAATATGTATGGACAACGTTCGTATCCATATCAAGTTTAATTGAAACATACCAATTCCAGCTGAGCGTCCCGGAGTAATCCTTTGGTACCCAAGGATTAATGTAATCGTCATATTTATGTCATATGGTTAAGTGAAGGATTGCGATATAGGGATAGCTCTCATCTCCTGCAAATTGAATCCCCCTGCTGACTGCCGAAATCGCACGTGAGGTTATTCAGAGGTCGAGAGCTAACCGGTGAGAGCACTTTCTATATCTATATATTCTATATACACGTACCAAATTTGAATATTGTGGTTTAATGATATTACTATTAGTTTAGTTTATTCCAGTCTAGCGATAGAATCAAGCGCTAGAATGCTACTACAATAATGTAAAATTATAATGGAAGTATTGGAACAATGAGTAATCAAGTGCAAATATTGCAAACCATCCCAACGCTGAATTCCATCGATACACTAGAATAAAATAAAAACCGAGCATTATGTATATTTCTCATAGTGATACAACACAATTATTTAAGCAAAATTGGTTGATAAATAGAAAAATGTATTCGACGGCACTAAAAATGAATGATTGCAATTGATATAATAGAAAGTTGAATGTTTTTATTTTTATCTAAAGCAAACTTTTAGTATAATAAATGTATCCATGTCTTAACAATTGCTATGAATTAAATGTGAGCCTTTCATTAATGTCATTTTAACTAATCACAATATTGTAAACTTGCAGGTAGATAAGACTTTATTTTCTTAACAAGCAACTCATTTCGTTTTCAGCTGACAAAAGCCAAAGTCCTGGTTTCGTTCCATCGTTTACCTCATGACTCGTTCTCGATTGGTCATTGTACGAGTATTATATTCTATTACCTGTTGTAATCAGATATGGCACAATGGTTCTTTGATGCCATTCAATGGGGATAGATTTCAAGATGAATGTGGCTGAAAGTGGCCATTTCTAAAATAGCTCATCCGTTGGAGCAGACGTCAAATTGATTGTGGGTACTTGGCCATTCAGAACGAATATATTGAATGGTTAAGCTGCGTGCTCTATGGAACATTGTTAACTTGCACTTGACAATGCTCATTCACTAGAGCTCAACATTGTGACGTTTAATTATAAAATGGCAACAGTTATATTGCCTGTTACTACACAAGGAATATTTTATTTATGTGCAGATGATTGTTAGCGTTGTTACTGTTGATGTGTTTAATAGTAGGTATAGGTTTTTTATTAGATCCCATTATCCTCATAATTTTGCCTAATGACGTCTCCATTGCTAAGACACACGACTTCTCTTTGAGACTCGTGAAAAGAAGCAACCAAAGAGAGGAACAATTATCAATAACAATGTTCATTAAAAATAATGAACTCATAATATGACTACATTCAAGATCTTCAGATCAATAATTACCTATTTAAAATATTATAAATCCCAGACACACATAAACTACAGTATATAGTAATATAGTTTCAATACAATATACAATATTTACCCAATCCTTTGTTTTGGTACTGATGTGACAGCTGGTTGGGTTCATGTGTAAAAATGTAAAGCCATTATGAAATTACCAGTTTATTGTGGATTAACTGTCAATAAACGTAAGGTGAGACAACAGCAACTGTATCTGTTAGTCTATATATCTATCGATTGTTCCAGCACACACAATACCTTGAACCCGGGTATAAGGGGCGATTATATTATAGCCAGTTTTTTTCTAATCTTGCATTTCCAGCGACTTCGCATTCGTAAATTATAGCCTATGTCACCCGCGTATGGTGTAACTTTATTTAATAAAACATTAATATGCCCACATAAAACACTCGTAGATATAAATAAATTCAAATAGATTACATAAAAAACTCACTACATGTAGAAAGAAACAAAATTGGTATAAATACAATACTAAACTAACATTAAGCTGAAGAGTGTGTTTGTTTGATTGTACTCTATAATTACAGGAACTGCTGGAACGAATCGAATTATTTTTGTCTCCAATAGTTCATTTCATTTCAGTTCAAATAGTTCATTGTAATTATACAATGACAAATTGAATTTAATCCATGTCATAATTATACCATGTCATCCTTTTCCAAAACCATTATTAAATAATTTAAGCTCTTTACACTGGATTAAATAATATTTTAATTAATACAAATCGGTACAATCGGTACAATTTTGAAATTTTTTCAATATCTCATAATTATCATAATTTAATGAGATTTTTTAATCATACGAAATAATCAAATGTTACATTTAGCTGTCGCTACTGACTACTAGATGACGCTTAAGTGCTTTAAAAACGGGATTTTGATATTTGTTATGTTTGTAATCTTTGTTTTTTCCCATTTTTATCAAACAAAATAAACGAAATTTTTTTTTTACGTTGCTGTTTTTAATTATTATATTGAATATTGAATGTTAATTATTACTGGGCAATAAAATTAAATGTTACACTTATCTGTCGCTAATGATCACTAGATGACGCTACTATACTTGTAACTGGATTTTGATTTTTTGTTATGTAAGTAATTTTTATTTTTTTCCGATTTTTATAATACAAAGTAGCTTTCTTTTTCAATTTTGCGTTTTTTTCCAATAACATAATTAAATTAGGAAAAAAAAATTCATCATCGTATCAGTATTTCCGAATACTCCTACAAAGTTCGAATATTTTATTTTATTAAGTATAGATGGAACGCTCAATCGTTCACGCACGTGAATAGTCCCTCTATTTGTAATCTTCTTGATTCACACCGGATTAGAGTCCCAGTTAATACTACATGTACTACATGTAATTACCCGTAAGAACAATATACATCCTACCTATTTGTAGGTATTGTCTGTGCTTTTTAGCAGATAAAGTCGCTCCTCTCTACATAACGGGGTAAGATCGTTACCACGATTTCGAAGTGATTGTTATGTCTATAAAATAGTAAAATACCACTACGATTACACTTTATAGATAAGGTAAATTTACCTTATCTATAAAGTGTATATGATTTAAAAGTTGTATTTTATTCGATATAAAATCGTTAAGAGAGCTGTAATCGTTTCTTCCTTCTGCCTTATTTTAAAAAAGGGTAATAAATATCACGTATCTAGTAAATATTTAATGAAGTTTGAATAAATTATTAAAAAACCTTAATATATAAAAGCCATTTTCACGTGAGAAAAAAAGAGATAAAAAATATATCTGATATTGAAAGGGCGAATTTCATTACACTCTAAGAGGTTTGGCCTAGTTACAACGTGTCACAATTTCAGACCAGCAATATTCCAATTTCTGCATTTCTATTCAGTTGAAGCAAACATGTTTTGGTTGTATTAGAAATTCGGTACGGTGGTGTTTTCACTCAAATCTGAAGATTTAATGAAAACACCTTTAATCTAATTCGCTTTAAATACGATAAAACTGAAGCTTATAGAATTTTCATCAGTTGAAATCCCAATATAAAAATTGGGTAAAGCCTTACATTTTACCACTCGATAACATAGACACTTCCATTACAATGCTTCCATTATTTGACATTCCTACTTACAATGATTTGACCTGTATTATTTAAATCTGTATATTTAATTTAAAATGCTTATTGTAAAAGACTTGCCGAGTGTAACCTTCTGAGTTATATGGCTAATAAATTATTTGATTTGGTTTGATTTGCTATGATTACATAAAGCTGAGGTCATAATATGAATAGGTGTAAGAGTTTCTTAAAACATTTGTGTCACATTTTTTTTTTAATTACATACATAAGAAATTCTTTTCTTTTTTTTATAACGCAGGGAAATGCACCTTAAACCTGGGCTCTCCGGCTACCCTGCCCTAAAGGGGGCAAGTTAATGTGGAAGGCCTGGTAAAACTCGCTGCAGTTCACCTCACTACTAGGTGTTATAATATAAGTAAAATTTGTAATATGCACTCATCTTTAGGCAATTCAAGTGGTAACATAAAAGTTATGTAGAAGAGATCTTAAAGCATCGTAAAATCGTAACAACGATACCAAGTATTATGTGAACATTAAAAAAACTATATATATCGCTATCCATAGAAATCAGTATCATCGTCACGTATAAAATTCCGCTATGTACACGTATAGAAACGCTATAAATAATACTGGTATAGTATAAGGTCACTGACCCGATCCGGTACAAATCCACACTAGAGATGGTGTAAACTAAATAAGCTAAAAAATAAAAGGACCGGAAGTGATAAGGCAAATCACCCGGATTTAGCCACTAGCCCCTTTTAGTGTTTTAGGACTACAAAGCGTTTTAATTATAGACATTATTTTACCGTGTATAGTCTTCAAAATGCTGAATTATGGTAAACCTAACACTGCGGATACCTGAGATGTGACAAAATTCAATTGCTCGTAACTATTTAAATTGCCAAAGCTGGCTCCTAATCTTAAATTAACCAAAAACGTTGGGCTAATTGTCTAATAATAAAATTTATGCAGCCCCTTTCAAAGGTATAGAAATTGTGATAGCGATTTATGGAATGTGTAACTTTAAAAGTCGCAATTGCTTTTGAAACGAATTATGTTTTTTGCATGACCAAGAGTCAAAAAAACTTAAGATTGCACAAATTTGCGTCTAGCGCTTGTCTTAAATAAATAATTAGCGTGAAGCTTATGAATATATATTCAAATGTCCAATCTAGCGCAATCCATTCAGGATTGCGCTAGATTTCAAAATTATACAATCAGGGCCTGGGTCATCTGACCTATCATATGTAAATCGATGAACGATACATTTAAAACAACCATACCTACAAAAAAAAACCGTTTATTCCACCTTTGAAAACCAATTTAAGTAACACATCTCAATATTAATCCTTTCTGCTCCTATTGATTTTACGTTTAATCCGTTCAGTGTAAGCAGCCACAATGTTGGAGAGTAAAGGCAATGCTGCTGACTTCTCGTCATCCCTGACACCGACTTCTGTGCACAAGTCAGTTCTACATTTTTTATCCTTCGGCAAAGCAGCTTCTGATGCCAGAACAGAGGCTGTATACAAATACCCGTTCCACTCTAGATATTCCCGAACTAGTTCGTTAACTAGCAAAACTTCGTCGGTCGCTATGGGAACGTCGGCGTTTTTGTCATCGTGAGAGGAAAGTTGTTTCTCTTGTAGCACCTCGGTGACCTTAGCACGCATCTGTAAGTTTGATCGGTTTTCGTTATGGTGCATTAGTCCAACGGAATTTTCTTATGGAATTAATCTACTGATTCGGCAAAAAAAATAATTGAATATTTTTTTATGTTAACGTTAATCAAAAACGATTGATTTGGTTATAAGTAAAAAAGGTCATCAGCGTGTTGATATATTGAGAGTAGAAACTTTCTTTTTTTGAGACATTTGATAAGTTTCAGAATAAATTTTGCGTTCTTTCTCACAAATTTACAATACAAAATAGGTGTCTATGCATAAATTCATTTATTGACGTTGCCCAAGTAGCGTAGTGGATAAGAGCCGCGGCCCGCGTTCGTTGTTGTTGACAACTTTTGTAAGGGGCAGTCAGGGGATGGGTGACCAAAGATTATTATCTCGAGATGTAAAACGGCTGATGATTATGAATATTATAAAGCTGAAGAGTTTTAAACAAATATTTTTCCGAATTGAAAAATATTTTTGTGTTGAATTTGAGGTTGAATTTTGAGGAAGGCTATAGGCTATATTACATCACACTATATATATAAAAAGAGTGGAGCAACAATAAAAAAATGTTACATAAACCACAAAAATACGCAAGCGAAGCCACTGGCAGAAAGCTCGTTATCAATATAAATAAAGAATAGAGAAAGAAAGAAAGAAAAAAGATAGCCATATCGTTTATGATTAGCTTACACAAAAGAGTATTTGTTCTAACTTCTTCAGTCTAACTTAATTCGGATTTACAACCTACTTTGTATATAAAAAGTAACATTGTACGATACTTCTGCTTGTTCTTTACAAAGTTTCGCCGTTGGTTCGCATATTTGGCAAGCGGGCTTGAGTTTGTCATGTCATATTGCCTTTGTTTCGTGTTCTGTGTACACTCCCCGTTCCAGTGTTGTTATGATCCAACTATTGAGCTTTCTAGGTCAATTTTTACTAACTTTAGCTCGTACAACATGAAGCTGTATTATTTTGAGTACAACCAACTATTGTGGAATTTTCAAACTTACACGGAGACTGAAACGAAAAACTTTTTTCTAAAAATTCAGCTTTTAGTTTGCGAAATATACTTTTAAAAATCAATTTAATTTAATTAAATTTATTTAAACTGTTATTCACATTCCTTCACATTTACCTTGTTTCTAAATGTACATATGGCAAAAATTCACTACCTAAAGATGAATTTCAATGTTTTCTTTCGTTAGAAAAAAATCTTTACTTCTTCAATTCACCAATTAGTTCATTATTTCTCGTATTTATACTCATTTATCAAAGATGACTATTGTATACGTATAAGTTACTATGCAACCGAGGTTAAAGGATTAAGAACTGATGAGTATTTCATTAAAATAGTTTTTGAAGTTCTATTTTGCGCAAAACGCCATACTCTGTCCCTTTTTGTCTCGTTTACTGGTGTGTTAATTTCGTGTTGTTTTCACTTTTGTCTTGAGATGTAATTTAAAAGTACGATCGTGTGCAACATCCGATCGGAGTGTAAAATAAAATAACAACGCCGCGACCGCTTGGCTTAGCGAGTCATCCGCGCGACATAAATGCATGTGTACCTACCAGTAGGATAATCCTGCTAAATTTTGCGTAATAATGGAAAGTCAATAGCGCTTCAACTCTTTATGTCACAGTTTTTGTTACTATTTAGATCAAGAAATAATCAATATATCTGTCACCATATGTGAGAAATAATAATAATAAAAGTTTTGTTGCCTTAAACATGGTATAAAAGTGTTAAAGTTGTACAATATCCTCATGTTTCGCCATTTTCAAATAGGATGTAAGAACAATACAATGGAATGTAAAAAAGCGAGAACAAAAAAAACCTAAACAATTATTACAATATGATAATCAAATTATTAAATTCTTATTATGTTGAAATGCATCGGTGTTACATGTCATAGTTTAAAAACAAATTACAATGTCAAAAACATTGTTTAATTGATTAATTAATTTGTATAATTCAATATAATTTTCTAATTCCCTTTGTTCAAAAATTTGCTAATACTATAAAATTTGAAAGACATTGCACTTATAATAATGGACTTCAGGTAGATAGTACGGCGGTAAAATGTACATAGTTAAGATTCTTTTGAGATATGATATGAATTGACGCCTTGCCTGCATTTTTGCAAACAGTAGCAAATCAGATCATATTTTTAAATAACGAAGTATCTATAATTATATATAACTAGTGTTGTCACGTTTACGTCAGGTGCAAATTGCCATACCTGGAGATCCGTCTGCACGGTACTTAAAATAACCAAACTTAATGCTTAGGCACTTTTAAAGAGTGGAAATCGTTATTTTTTACCTCGGCTTGCAACTTATTCAAATGGCCGCTCTTCTTCAAAAGATCTTTTATTGCAACTAAAAGCTCTTTCTCTGAATTCGCTTTGTTTTCGTTCATTTTGTTGATTAAGTAGAAATTAATTAAATCACCTCTGACAGTTTGGCATATACTTTACTCTTTGGTCTAGGAAAAAATGAACAAAGCGTCACAAAGAAAGTTTTTATGATGAGTTTAAACCAAAGATCAAAATTACTCCTTATACTACTATGTTCGCAAAATCTAACTTTAAATCAATCTTTGTAGTATCTTTGTTATTTGTGCGTTTATGTTTATAGCTGTTAATTTTATATAACGTTTAATGAAACTAATTTAATGCCATATTTATTCTTCCAAAAATTTTTGTACTGTTGTAATGTTTTCCAATTTGGTGTCATACAATTTATTTTGTTAAATATTTATAAGTTAAAATGGTTCATATTTTCACTAGTAGGACACAAACCTGTTGTAAAAAAAAAACTGAATTTGAAATCGTCAATATTAAACCCCTAAGATTAAAATCCGTCTACTATTTACGAAGGTATCCTAAAACATATATACAGCAAAAGAATTCATTGAAATCACTTTTACCATTTAAATAAAGCAAAAAAAAATTGGCAAACTTTCTCGATTTTTTTTTACTTTACAGATCTTATTATGTTGATAAAAATTTACGGATACGTCTTTAGGTATTGATAGAAATGAAAACATGTTCTTATTATCATAAAATTAGATATATTTGTTTCCACAATGTTATATTGATATAAAATACACAATTTGCTTTATTCAAAACTTCTCGTTTATTATCAGTAAACAGTACAGTAAATAAAAAAAAAAATAAACGAATCTTGATCTCATATATTAGATTTTCTTGTTCTCCACCTGTCCGGGGCTTATTTAATTAAGGAATGTTTCGTTCCCGGAACGGCGCCTTCGAGAATCCCGGAATCTCGCACGAAAATTGCAATCACAGATACATATATAAATATTGTGACACAATGAATACTTTTTGTTTCTACCTATACATCTTCTACATCTCTTACCGTCTGTCTGTACTTATGTGAGCTTATATTTTAAAACTACGCAACGGATTTAGGTACGGTATCTTTCAATCGATAGGGTTATTCTAAAGGTTATTCTAAAAAAAAGGTTTTTATGTATAATACAGGACCACGCGGGCGAAGCCACTGGCGGAAAGCTAGTTCATATTAAAAATATTTTTTATTTAGATAAATCGCCTCGAAGATAATTTATAGTTCAGATCATCTTATGTGATAAAACCCTTATTACCATTAAGCTAATACCCAAAAAATATAATTATTTTATTTTATTTGGGGAGCTAACTGCTTGAATAACATAATTGCTTACAATCTGTTTAATGAAGAGTAAATTATAATCCTCCACAGAATATACTTATGACATGATTGGCTTTCCGTCAGCGGCTTCACAAGCGTGGTTTCTAGGGAACTGTTTTGTAGGAGGAGGCTGAAACTAAACAAACAAACAATCAACACCATTCATTAATTTCATTTACATTTTACATGTAAAAAATATTTATTTACTTGACATTGGCAGATTTGTGCGAAATGCGCAGATAAGCTATTAATTAAAAAAAAAAGAAAAATAATGTTTTGTAGGAAAAAAGTAGCCTATGTGTGAAAACGGGCTTAGAATTATTCATGAACCAAATTTCATCAAAATTCGTTTAGTAGTTATTGCGTGAAAGAGAAACAAACATCCTCACAAACTCGCCTTTATAATTTTAGTGGGACTAATAATTAATTTCGTCACAGTCATCTAAATAAAAATGGTATGATCTAAATCAATTCTAGGCACATAATCTTAATAGCTTCATCAGCAATTAATTCACATTTAAGTTAAAATCAAAAAGGTGTATGAAGTTCATTTAGTTACACGGTTCTAATAAAAATTTCACAGATTTTGAAGATTGCGTGTGATTTTTCGTTCGAGTGTGAGCCTCCCTGATTGGGACAGTTTTCATATTGAGCTGGCGAAAATTTGTTAGAGAATCATTTAATCATAAGCGAGTGAAAACGGCAAACATGCCATTGATTCGTAAATCTATAGGTGAAGATCTTGTTCTGTAGAAGGATTGGCGAGAAAGGCCACGATTTATTTTAGCCTGTTTTGTACTAAAAAGTGTCAATGAAAAATGACTATTATTTTAAGTAACCACTTTTCATGACTTTAGTATTAGCCATAAAAAGTAATTTCATAGTACCACTTCAAGTAAAGAGTAAAATAAACAATAATAAAGAATTTAAGTTTATCGAAGTTGTATTGTGATCCAAGTTACGCATCCCTAATTGCTTTCAGTTTTATGTACCACGGCATCGTGTTGGAATAAAATAATGAAACGATTTAAAAGGAATAATTATCTTAAATATAAAATTACCTATTATTTAATTAACTCGAACAAGCAAGTTACCTTAGTAAAGTAATCCTAAATACAAGACGATGACAATGAAAATAACGAACACCACCGCGGTAGCAATACTGACATCGCTAAAATTTAATATTGCATAAAATACAGTTGCAATACTTGAGTCAATGTCTAGCAATCAGTGTCTCCTGCTGGCTCTGATCCAAACTAAATGGGACAGGCATTTATGAACTTGCCGAATTCACTGGCAAAGATACAAATCTCGATGCAACCTCCTTGGTCTAGACGACTACTGTATTTAAAAAGATGTGGCAGTATTCCGATTTTCTTTAATAAATTTTGTTTTGAATTCGAACTCTTTTTTTTCTATTGTCATGTTCCCGTATGTTTGGCGAAAAACATTTTCGAGGAACTACTGGAATATCATTCGTTCAAAATAACCTTATGCAATCGGCTGTAAAAGCCATACCGACTATAGGTGCAATTATTGCAAAAAATAAATTGTACGTAAATATCCTACTTATTTATTTAAAACTTTCAAATTAATGTAATACAGGTTTTGTTAACGTTTCAAAGTTTTACATATTTGGTACTAGCAGTAACCCACGGCACACTGACCTGCTATACTGGAGTCTTAAGCTAATCTCAATTAAAAATCTGCTGTTAAGCATCCACCTTTATCAACGTCCCCACTGTTGGGGCATAGGCCTGCCCAATAAATGGATTTAATTATGGAAAATCTACCGGTATTTCTGTGTATAACGCGCATATCTTCAAAGAATAGTCCAGTTGCTCCTCTTTCCAATTTTAGAATCAACACACAATACGTACAAATGTTTTCTTTGAAATAATAGTCCTTTTATTGAAGTCTTATTCTACGCCTGATCCTCATAGCAACTTGAATGGTCAGTTAGTTCTTGCTTCTTAATTCATCATTTTCAGTGATTTAAATGCGTGAAGTGCGTGAATTTTTGCCAACGGATATTCTGCCGTTTCTTCAATTTGTAGGTATCCAACTTATATAATTTCGTCTACTCAGTTTTTTTTTTCACCGAATTTATTATTTGTCTAAAACTGACCCCTACCATTTGTAACTCATTACAAGTATTTTTTTTTTAATTTATTTTTAGTCATTCATAATTCATAATTTGGTACTTTTGACAAAAATTGGTACTTTGAAGCATGGCTAAGTCATGAATGATTAACGAAATTGAAACGGTTTCCCCACACCCCTAATATTTTTGAAAGACCTTGTAGCGGTTAAGCCAATTAAATAGACTATATCAGATATGATAACTTATTTAATTACGTACAAGAGGGTAGGTCCCCAAAATAGTTTTATAAAAATTAAATTTAAAGAAATATTGAAAATTTAGGGTGTGGGTCCGTGACATTAAGCAACCGTCTCGTAGCAGATTCTTGGTCACCACTGTCCTGGCAATCCAGATAATATCGCACGTTGCAGATCTCCGGTCACTGGTCCCAGTAATACAGACACGACTGGTGCAGAAGTAAAGGTTTCCCGAATAACGTGTGTAGCACAATCCAGACCGTTCTTTACCCTGCCAGAGGATAGGTCCCCAATATGGGGAATAAACACATAAACTATATTTGTAGATGACTAAATCAAAAATTCACAATCAAGGAGACAGTAATTAGTGAGAAATAATGTAAGTGACGACAATGTGTCCTGTCGCTGCGGTCGTATCTCAATTGTGCCACCCGCATTTTGTTGGAGAACCGGTTTCCCGCTTCGGTCGGCAATGCGCAAGCGCATGAACAATAGACTTACTCAGTATACAACAGTTTTGCCCAGACTGTGCCTATTGAATTTATTATTTTTCTTTATAATATTTTGCTTGTTTTAATTTTAGTTTTAAGTTGTAATTATGTTATTGTATGCAGATTCAACTAATTTTGAGAGTATTGTAAATATATATTTTTATATTTTGATTATTTTTAAATTGTTTTACAATATTATTCTTTTTTTTTTAATTCTTGGATTAAGATAGACAGATAGTAAAATCGTCACATACCCCCCTTTTTAGGTTATGATTTTACTTATAAAATCACTATGACTCACTCATAGTTACTTATTTTAAGATTTATCTTAACTTAAAATCTTTTATGTGCCATGTTCCCAACCTATTTCCTGACATATCTTCGAGATCATATACTAACTTAGATTTTTTTTCTCTTATGCGACACTTCATGAATTTGGGTGCTAATTTTTTTGAAAATTTATTATCTTTGTCGCTATGATAGAAAGTGCGCTTCCAAACGATATCCCCAACATTGAATTCTGCATTTTTCCTTCTAAGGTTATAGGTACAACTGTTTCTCGAATGTGCTTTAATAAGTGAAACTTGTACCTTATCGAAAATTTTACGTAGGTAACCAAGATTTTCTGCATAAACATCTCGAGGAGAAAAAACTATATGATCCTCAATATCTGCATCAATATAATGTGAACCACAAGAAATAAGTTCCCGTCCAAATACTAAAAACGCTGGTGTATATCCAGTAACTTCATTAACTGCGCTGTTTAATGCGAATTGGATTTTTGGAATATATGTATCCCATGATCTGTGATCATTCTCAATAAATGTAGCTACAGCAGTGATTATAGTTTTGTTGTAGCGTTCCACCGTGTTTATTTGTGGTGTATATAAAGGTG